CTATTTATTAATAAATTTGTGCTTAGTTTTATAATTGCTATAGCTTTAATGACTGATTGTTACATATTTTTTGCAACACTGTCAACTTTGTCTCAACAAGTCGATTGTTGCACCAAAGTGTAAAAGCAAATGATCCCGGCAGCAAATATAGAAGCATGCAACTGTTTGGACACCCTCACTAAAGTTTTGTAGCAATACAAAGAGAAGCTAAGCAAATAATATGACCTTATTTATATTATTTTGCACAAAAAATTCAGCTGCTACTGTCCAAAAATAATGTAAAAACTGCAAATATCTATTATTCTGTCCACCCTACTTTTGTACTCTATGTACTTTATTTATAATATCTCGGACTGTTGGTAAATAGAGGAACTGCAAAGTAAGAATTTCATTGCACAGTGTAACTGCTTGTATGCTGGGCATATGACAATAAAACTCTTGAATCTTGAATCTTATTCACCAATTGTGAATCTTGTCCGTTTTGTTTGAGGATTTTTTACTTTCTTGCAGAAAGCTTGTACTTTTGTGAGATACTTGGATCACCTTACATGTACAGATTTTTTGAAGGACAGTCAGATTTATACACTTTTGTTAGGAGAAATGTGAGGCTTGAGTTTGTCCTTGTGCTTTTTGAAGTGTGTTTAAAATCATCGTTCATCATAAGGGCTAATCTGCTGTCTGAATTTTTCTGAAGATCTTTTGCGATCAAAATTAGGGTTGTTTTGCCTCTCCAGCTATCTTATAAACAAATCTTTTTAAATGATCTTCTAAAGCTCAGTTTTATCTGGAAGTATTCTTGCTAGTTAGCTGCTCTTTTGTATTTATGTCACAAAGTAAATACATAATTGTGTGCCATAAATTATAGTATGTCAGATGGTTATTTCTAAGAGCTTGTGACTGCTGACTGTTGGGGCAAAGTCTGAGTTTTTCTAAAAGTTGCCCATTGCTCCAACAAGCTTAATAATGTTACTGTTTGATTTTGTGTTAAAGTGAGGGGAAGAAAAGTTGGGATTCAGACAGTCTAACCAGGATAATGATGGGGCAGGCTGGATGGTGGACTCACCAGGAGAGACTAGATGAGTGGCAGACTTGAGTAAAGATGAACCTGGCTTGTAATTACAGAGCAGAGATGAGGTTCCAAAAGAGGAAGGCAAACAATGACAGAGAGACAAAGAAACTGACTTCTAGAGAGAGGGGGAAAAACATCTTTTGAGAAAATCAAATTCAAGCCAAGTAAGTTGAGTCATATTTTAAACCAAAACAGAATATTCATCCTTTTTATAACATCAGCTCCTTAAAAAAAAAGGCAAAAACAGATCAAAGCATTATGACCTTTTGCTACTTTATTGCTGTCTTGTTTAGTTTCTGCTCTACAGCAAAAATAGTCTTCACTGTCAGTCATATATGTAGTGGTTACTACTATCAAATGTCTAAGACAAACACTTAAAGTTAAATTTAAATCACTGCATTATTGCTGTGTGTGCATGTGTGTATATTTGTACAAAGCCTGCATAGATGCACACACACACAGCTGGGATCTCTTGGCTTTGTTCTGGGTTTGCAAAGATTTTTTTTTTTGTCTATGTGGGTGTATCCAACTGTGACAAGCTGCTTGGATCCGTTTGGTGCCTTGCAAACTATGGAGTGTCCCTTAGGAATGGAGCTGTTTGAAGGCAGCTTAAAGCAGTGATGTTCACCTCTTGACTTTGTTGCTGATTAATAGACTTTGCTGAACACCAGAGAAACAAAGGAGGATTCTCACTCTGTCACAGTTTTGCATTATGAAGGATGCCGTACAAGTAGAGGGGTTGTAACTGAATATTGTGCTCTTTGACATACATTTTTTGTATGCAAATGTATGCACACATCTAGGGATACTACTAACAAACAGATCGAAAATAGACAGTGGCTGTCATTGTCATTATTTATCTTGATAAGCACCATCTGAACCAACGTTGTTGAACTGTTTGCTCTAAAATCAGTGCTAAATTTAGTGTATAACTGAGAATTATTGACACAGTTCTTCTATGTGTACATTTTTGCCAAGGAGAAAAACATGTATACTATACTAACTTAAAAAATGTCCAGATATGTGTAAATAATAAAAGTGAAATGCTCGTGATAAAGTTGAAGTCTGACAGAAATGACAGCGACAGTTAATATGAATGCTGTTTTATAAACTCTTAATTTCTCATCAGTTTCACATTGCAGAAGTATGCTACAGCTAGCTACTGAGATAATAATCACTTGATAAATTTTGTAATGCAAAATTTATGTTAATGTCAAGGTTCATTAAAAAAAACATTCACTTGAAATTCTATGAAAGTCTTGATACTGAAGGAGCTGACATAATTTAAAAATTGACCTACAATATGTAAGACATTTGTTCAAAATCTTGTCACAGAGCTCATTTCCAAAAATCTGAACAATCCCCTTAAAGCAGGGCTATTCAACTGGTGGCCCGCGGACAGTGACAAAGTTCGGCCCGCCAATTGGTTTATTCATCTCTTAAGCCCAAACCCCCAGTTTTCTACTTTAATTACTCTAAGTTCTTTTAGTTAAACATAGACATGTTTGGTGTCTACAAAAACGTCAGAATCTTGGCTAGAAGTTGGTAAAAACCATTTCTATAAACACTCAAGACAGTTAAAACCACAAGCAGTTGAAGATAAAATGATGAAAGTGAAAATTAAATTGTTTTAAAAATTTGGCAAGTCAGAGATGTCAAAATATTTGTGTTAAATAGGAGGCAAAATGTGTTCTTTTTGTTTTTGATAATGTTTAATTATCACTACTTTTATGGGGTTATGGGGTATGTTGTATTCATGATTAAATGCAGCAAAATAGACTAATTCAAAGGTAACAGATCTTTGTAATACTTGGTTTATTTACATAATAAATGTAATTGCTGGATGTCCGGCCCCTCAGCTGTTGACTGGCAGTAACTGTGCCCCCCGGAGCAATTTAGTTGAATAGCCCTGACTTAAAGTTAGAATTTTTCTTTTTATCTTAAGATAAGTTATTTTATTCGGATTGCTTGACAGTTTCTATTTCAGTCACTTATAAATTATTTTTTTTAACTTATGAGTTTTTTTAACTTTAAAAGTACTTTAGCACGAAAAAAATAAATTACATTCATCCATCCACTATCTATACCCGCTTATTCCTTTCAGGGTCACGGGGGTCACTGATGACCATATTCAGCAGTCACAGTGCGAGGGGCGGGATACACCCTAGACAGATCGCAAGTCCATCATGATTATATTCATAAGAAATAATATTTATATAATATTTGGGAGTGAAAAAGCCCTTGCTTTATTCAGAGCAAACACACTCTTTAATGCCTCTGCTGCTATTCGCCTGAGAGCTGTTTTTTTTAAGTTCTGCTTCCATTTTCTACCTGTTAACAGGCAGCGAGCTGCTCTGTTGTGACAACTGTGAGAACGTTTCAGACACCGTTGTAACAGCTTGTCTTGTTAGTGGAAGATTTAGCTCTCAAACTTTGGAGGTCTGGGTGACCGCTGATGTCATGGAGGGATGATCCAGTCAAAGACGGAGATCATTATGTCAACCAGCTTGCCAAGTTTGGAAGACTTGTTCTGATGTTTCCTACTGTATTTGTTCAGATGGGTGACTTGATCACAACTGCAGTCTGGTGACTTTTATTTTTCACCCAATTCCAGGTCCACTTTACCTGGCTGGACACTGCAATCAAAGACTAAAACCCAGTTCTGGTTCATGTACAAAATGAAAAGCTTGAACATATTGTACATCTATATTTAAGC